GTAGTAACTGTGAGAGGGATCTCGGAGTCCTAGTGGACAATCACTTAAATATGAGCCAGCAGTGTGCTGCAGCTGCCAAAAAAGCCAACACAGTACTAGGCTGCATTAACAGAGGGATAGAATCAAGATCATGTGAAGTGTTAATACCACTTTACAATGCCTTGGTAAGGCCACACTTGGAATACTGCATCCAGTTTTGGTCCCCACAATGTAAAAAAGATGTTGAGATTCTAGAAAGAGTACAGAGAACAGCAACAAACATGATTAGGGGACTGGAGGTTAAAACATATGAGGAATGGTTACTGGAATTGGGTATGTCTAGTTTAGTGAAGAGAAGGACAAAGAGTGACATGATAGCAATGTTCCAATATCTCAGGGGTGGCCACAAAGAAGAGGGAATCAAGATATTCTCCAAAGCACCTAAAGGCAAGGCAAGAAGTAACGGATGGAAACTAATCAGAGTTAGAAGCAACCTAGAACTAAGGAGAAACTTCCTGACAGTTAGAACAATTAACCAGTAGAACAACCTGCCTCCAGAAGCGGTGAATGCTCCAACACTGGAAGTTTTTAAGAAGAAACTGGACAGCCATTTGTTTGAAATGGTATAGAGTTTCCTGCCTGAGCAGGGGCTGGACTAGATAACCTCCAACACCCCTTCCAACTTTATTATTATTATTATTATATTGAAAGAAATCACTGAATACTGTACCTGAACAACAGTCAGCTTCAATTAAACTTTATATTTAAAGTATACTATCAAAATTGCTTCCAATGGAATTTAGGAACTCATCATCTTGGGTGCTATAAGTATCAAAATTTGATATATTTATGGTGTTTGGATTGCTGGGCAATCCTGATTCATTAAGGCTAGCCAGATAATGAAAAGTTGGTGTCTCAAAAATATTGGACATAGAGGTCAAAGATAAGCTAGAAGTGGTTACTGTTGATAGGGCAGGAGGCAGCAATGGTTGGACTTTCTTCCTGTGATTGCTTGGATTTAAAGCTTGAACAAAAGATGACTTTTCCAAGTTAACATCTGAGCATCTGGAGTCTTCCATCTCCATGCTAATGCCATTGGACACTGCCACATTTACTGGATGAATAGACTGGCTGTCGATAGTGCTGGAGACATTCTGCATATCTTGCTGAGATACTGATGGTGAAGGTGATGATGATGTCATTGTTGACTCATGGTCATTCATTGTTGCAAAGAACCCTTGATAAATGTTCCCCTCTTTCTGACTGGCCCAGTTCAGACTCTTTTCCTGTCCAAGAAATGGAGAGCTACCATTCTGCATTGTAGGATGCAACACATCACCCAAGTTTCTATGTTGCAGCAAAACACTTAAAGGTGAAACAGAGGAATGCCAGCAAGATGGCAGAACCCCATCCTGCTTAATGGACTCTGTCATTTGAAAAGGTGGACCAGGATGTCCATTGGAACTTAAGTGGTTTAAAGGAGGGGAATAATATGGCTGCAATGAAGGGGTGCTTGTAGATGTTTTCTGCAGTGGAATGGCTGTTTCAATCGGTGAGCAAAATATATTTGATTCTGTGAAAAAAAGTAATCATTGATTAGAAAAGTCTTACTACAAAATTCTTGAACATTTTCTACACTATTTTCCATATATTCCAGACTTAGAATGGAAGCTGCATTATACTTTATCATAATTTTTGGTCTCTCTAGCAAAGCACGGTTGGTGCTGATCAGTACATTTCAGAACTACATCTTTCTATCTCAACTTGGAGATGCTACAAACTGAACCTGGATCTTCCTGTTTGCAGGGTTTTGACAGTTCACCATGAGGACACAGAAAGGTCTCCTTAAAAATCAATCACCAGTACACATACAAAGTACTCAGGGCCATACAGCTGTATTCTGCTTAACCTGGTAGCCCAAATTCTTATAATTCCAAGCCAGAACAGCCATGGCATCTTACAACTATAAGAACTGTAATCCAATACATCTGGAGGCCACTAGATCAGGAGAAGGCTCCTGTAGTGTACAGCATTTATTCTACCTTTTCTCTCCTTTATATATGACATCAAGTTCATGGAAAAAAGAAAGATGTGTATTCCCTGAAGGATTTTTTTTTTAAAAAAAAAATAGGCTATTTTTAATTTTAATTTGTCTCCTGCCTTTTAATCCAAAAAGATCCCAATAGCAAGGAAGATTCCAGACTCTCATGGGAACTAAGAAAAAACATCATATACAACTTGATCTATATTCTGTCCATCAGTAATGAATAGAGATATGTAGAACATTCCATGCATGGCTTTTCTGATCCATACATAAATGCTAGGAGTTAGGGTTATTGAAAAAGTCAAGGAGACCAGTGGCTGAAATGGAGCAAGGAGAAGGAAATAAAAAACACTCAGAAAATCAGGCAGCAAGAGGATCAGTGGGCTATGTTGTCTTCGATTATTATCTGCAGCAGTAGCTGAAGAGAGGATGGACTGAAAGTTTTAGGAAAATTGGGGTAGTGGGATTGGGGTCTATTCAGTTTGGGACAGCAAGTAGCTGAGAGAAAGGAGGGGAAAAATTGAGACAAGGACAGATGTGTGGAAAAAAGCTTCATTGATATGGCTGGCCATATACATTTGATAAAGAAATAAAATAAATCAGCAGGTGAGGAAGAAGGCTGGTGGGATATGCTGCATTGGAATACTTTGAGTGAGGCAATGGAGAGAAGGCCAAGAGTAGAGAAGAGGGAATAGATGGATCAGTGGGATACCCATGCTCAGAACAGCTTGGAACAGGGCAGGGCAGTAATGCATTCCATTTTAATCTATACCATTAAAATACTGTCATGGAAGAGATAGGAAGAAAGACATTCAAAGAGCCAGAACAAAGAAGGCATTTTTTTAAAAAAAAGAATCTACCTTTCTTAATGAATTTTTCTTCACTGGTAGCAGTCTGGAACAGAGCAGCATTAGACCTCTCATAGGGACCTATGGTAGGAATAGTTGTTATCCTAAAGCAAATCAATCCTATAAGGATGATGATCAGATTTACCCAATATAATGAAGTCTGTATTCCCAAATATAATGTATCCCCAACTGAATTTTAGCCTAAAGTGTCTAAATCCAGCCTCTGAATGCTAAGAGAAATGGGGTCAAGGAAAATAAGAAGGAAGCATCAACATAGTTTTGGAAGTCCCTAGTTTGTAATTCCTCCCCCATAAAATATAAGTCCAAACCAAGAATGCAAAATATTAATAAGACAGCCAGTGAGAGCCAAACTCATTTGAATTAAGAAGAAGAGAAAGCAGAGAGGCCTTCTTGCAGCAAATCAGCAGTAAAGTCTCATCCATTTATATATATTTGAGCCAGCCTCCAATTCTCTGTCCTCTACATTCTATTGTAATTCAGTTTAGTGGACTTGGGCACATAAGGAGAGAACTGAGACCCTAATGAGTGATACCATTGCATTCTTGTTACTCCCAAACAAGTGAATAGATGCTATCAATTGCAGAGACAGAATAAACTACAGCGTCACAAGCTTTGACTTAAGTATGGTATGGCATGGCATTGTGCAGCTTTTACTGAAAGAAACTCATAATGGTTTTGTAAAGCACAAACTTCTATCTCTTTAGACAGGACTTCTTTCTCAAAATATTCTCAACCCAAATGACACTAGGAAGCCTCAAGGATAAGTCCCCGTTTGAGAGAGAGGGGTTTCATATTAGAAGAACAAAATAAGATGGGAAGAGTTTTACTCTTACCAGAATCTTGAATGAGCTTTTGTAAAGCCATTGGTGACCTCTGCCTTTTTGCCTTATGACCATAAGGGTCTAAAACAGGAGGGAAAAATAACAGCATTTACACATATGATGATGTTGGGAATGTTTGCTGCAAAGGAAAGGTTTAATTCTGTGTTCTGTTCGATTACCATATGCAATAAAATATAGAAGATTGTCTTACATTGGATTGCCTTCCCACCAGCCCAGTATATCTAGAAAATAACTTTCCTAGGTCATGGGCTAAGCTCTTCCCACAATTTGCTACCTTATTTTTGATTCTAGAGTTTTCTGCTGTGCTGCTTCTTGCTTCATAAATATATTAACATATGCTAATTCCTCCCAAAGAAATTGGTAATATTCTTAAAATGAAAAACTCCTGTAAATCTCTTCTGTCTTAAGGCATTTTTTTTTATTAGCCCTGAGGTTTTCCAAATTAAGCTTGCAGAGATCTAAATGAAGAATTCCTGTCATAATGTATTTTCTTTTTTAGGAGAGTAAATATTTAGAATGGCCAAAAAGGAAGTTGTTGAACATAAAACAAGCATACTGTGAGACAACAGTAAATGCTGTGAGGGATCCTTGGTGCTCTCTGAGCTTGTTTGTTTTCTTGCAGACGTTTCATTACCAAACTAGTGTCCTATTCCCCAACATTCAGGGTGTGAGGGAAATCACTGGAATTAAGAGGATTTAGGGTTCTCACTTCCAAGCTTTTCTCATATGTGCCAACTTGGCAATTTTAAGATGTGTGGACTTTGATTCCCAGAATTCCCCAGCCAGCAAGATCCCCAAAGCAAGAAGGCTGCAGCTCAGTGAGAGTGAGGCTTGCATTGATGCCGCACACCTAAAAGAATGCACTGTATGTCTGAAATAAGCCTTCTCATGCTTCAATACCTCAATGTGGTTGACTAAAGCCTATTTTATTTGTTTTATTTTTGTCTTTGCAAAAGTTTGTTTCTAAAAGCTTTTCCCACCACAATTATCAATGCCTACACTACGAGGAGTCAAATGTTTCTCTGTGGACAAGCCTGCTGTGCGGGCAGCCAATATCACCAGCCTTGTTTCTCAAGCACAGGCAAAGATAGATTATGGCAGCAGCTTTTAAAATGACTTCTTCCTTTTTGTCTTAAAGCAATCCTCTTCAACCTGAAGTACGCTGCACCTTAACTCTCAGCATTTCCAGTTGGCACAAGGCCATGCTGACTGGGAATTCTGTATATGATGTTCCAGAATGTTTGCAGAACACTAAGCTGGGGGAGACTGGGCCACAGTAATATCATAATACTGACAGAAAAAGATATTGTTCTCCCATCAGAAATCTGTAAGTTCTTCTCTAAATTAGTGTGGGCCCTGATTTGAAAGAAGTAACTTAGTCCTACCTCCACAAATGTGTATAAGAATGTACCTTTTTCCTCTGGTAAATATCGAAAGTCCATAGGGTCACTGACTTCCTGATCTGAGGGCCTTCGCAATTGCATCTTCACGGTTGCAGGATCTGTGATATCTTTGAAAAATGGGGGTGTCTTGAAGACAATGGCTACTTGACGATGAACATCAGCTTGTGAAAAAATCCCCTTGGCTTCCCAGTTATTCATGAAAAATCTCACTTCTATATCATCTGTTCATTAGAAAGATATAAATATCACACTTAATATTAGGAATAAAACAATAAACAATGGTTCAAAGCGTAATTTTTTAGCATGAAACACCAAAAGGGATCAGTTCTGCTTTTTATAAGGATTGTAAATGTCATGGCAATACATCTGGCATACACATATTTGGGGGAAAATAGCACTTAGAAATAGCCCAATTTAGTCAGCTTTTATATTTTATTAAGACCAAGATTATAAAAGTTTTGAGTTTAACATGGAACTGATGATTTTTTATCTAAGCAGATTTCTTTTATCTAGTGTGGTGTTTTTCCAACTTTGGCAGTTTAAGATGCGTGGACATGAACTCCCAGAATTCCCTAACCAGCATAGTGAAGCCCATGTCTCAAAGTTGCTAAGATTAAAAAACACTGACCTAGTAGACTTGATTCGGCAACTTATTAATTAATCTTATCTCCACATCGTTTCATCACTAGTCATTCTAGCTGATGAATATGGAGTAGCTCTTCTAAATTTAGCACTTACTGAAAGTGCCAGTCTCTAGCTCCCATCATCCACAGCCAGCAGCCATATTGACTGACAGTACTGGGCATAAGACATCTGGATGGCCACTGATAGGGGTAGTCTGGTTTACAACCTAAGCTAGCTAAAGCTTGCATTTTGAGTGCCAGTGCTGATTATTCTGTAACATGTGAAACATCTGCTGCAATACACATACCTATACTGCACAGACTTAGCTGCAGTCTGGGAAATGCTTGGAAGGCAGTTTTGTATCTTTAACACTGTGGCTGCAGGACTGCCTGATTCCCATTGGCAAGGACTCTTGCCTTTTCCCCATTTCCCTAGCTCTCTGGAACACCAGGAAGAGTTGCTCCCATTTCATTGCTCTCTTTAAATTAAACAGCAGGACAGTTTTGCAGCTTTCCCTTACAATAATCAGTTTTTGTTCTTCCTTGTACAAAAACAAACATATTACATATTAATACTGAGAGGCCAAGTTTTACATTTCCTCCTTGATCAGCTGAAAGGAGTATTGCTTGAGAGTATTGGGCAGTTCTGGGCATTTTGAGGATGACAATGGAGGAAAATGATTCTGAGTTCAAAACTAGTACATACATTGTTTCATAGATCTATATAAATCAATGGACTATATAATGTTTGGATGGAATTTGACTCAAACTAGACTTTTTTAGTTGCACCATTCCACCACCCAAGTTATATACTCAAATATTACAATATTTTGCTAGATTACATGTCATAATTCAATTTGGTGGATATTTGGCATTTAGTTTAACCACCTCCACTTTCCAGTACATATATGCATATAAAATTGGTTGCTTCTTCATATTTCATTCTTAGATAGCTAAAGTTAAAGTTTATGGTATACATGGTATTCCAGTTTCCAATCACCTTTTTGAACTTTGTCACACAAGAGGAAAATTTCATCTCCTCCTTTCACTGTTCCACAGTTCTTGTTCACACGACAGATTCTCAATTCAGCTGAATTGGGTGCACCTAAACAGAAAAGGGAATTAATGACTGAGGGAGAGAAGAGTAAAAAGGGGCTATTATGGTTACATATGTCTAAAAAGAGAAGTGGGGGGGGGGAGAAAGTTCTGCAAGCAAATCTTTATCTGAAGATATGTAAAGCAGAGAAAGTAATAGATACATTTCAAGCATCCATAAAGCCACCTTTTCCCATCAGCATTTTAAATGACATTATCCCACTATCTCTGATGTTCCTCCTTGATCATGCATTGCTATCGTTTTTTAGGTCTTAGCACATAATTTGATCAGTTTTCTGTTGTAATTTTGAATTCTGAATTAGGTATCCATTTTGTTGCTCAAAAACAGGGCCCTGTCATGCAAGAAAATATGTAAGGTAATTAATCTGTTAGGATAATTAATCAGGCGTGGTTTCTGAGTGTTGTCACGATTGGGCTTAACCAAAGAAGTGATCCTCTTCCTTTCTGTTTAGGTGTTGGCCAGCATCTGCCACCACTATTTTTTCCCCAATGTTTGCTTTCTCAAATAGGACCAGATATTAAGAAATATTTGCTGCCTTTCAACCCTTTTTTCTTGCCTGCCTTGTTCACTTGTTACACAAAAGCACAACAATCTAGTAAAATATGTTCAAGAAAAGGAGTGGTTTTTATAAAGTGATGAGATATAGAGGTGTGGAACTCATAAAGGAAAAAATAACAGTTTCAAATATCCAAAACATCTCTGGCAATTTCAAGGGCTTCGCCATCTACATTCTAGTCAATTTTGCTTTCTACCCAAGATTCAAGTCTTTCAGTGCCAAATAACATGCCACCAGCCTTTAAAATCATACCAAGAACAGGGAAGGGGCAGAGGTGAATTTTCAGAAAACTGAATTGGTGCAAGACTGAAATAGCACCAAAGGAAACCAAGAATCCCATTTTCTTCCTTAGTGCACCTTAATCTAATTAATTTCTGCTTCCATTGACATTGGGGAAAGATAGCAGAAGAGCAAATTATGATCACAATGATTTTTGAGGGGTCCTTGCTGCTCTCTGAGCTTCGTTGTTTTCTTGAAGATGTTTCATTACCCAAACTAGGTAACATAATCAATGCAAGAAATCAACCAAGTTCAGAGAGCAGCAAGGACCCCTCATTTCAACCCTGAGTTATGAATTTCTCCTTTATTGGTAGAATGGTTTTTCCTTGCAAAAAGAGGTTGGGCTTTAAATAAGCAGTGGGAAAATGGCCAAAATCTCGGTCATATATACAATGGCTAGAATGATGATGATGATGATGATATGTACTGAAATATAATACAATTTGTCAATAAGTCTGAAAACATATTTCAGATGGAGCATATATATTCAAACTGAATTATCTGAATATTCAAAAATTATGTGTCTGCCAAAGATGCTCTCAGTTATCTTCTGCATTTTGTCTTTTGGGAAGAAGAGGGATAAAGCAACTCCATAGAGAACAACTGAGGCTAAAGAGCATGCAGGGAACACAGCAGGAGAAACTTGACATGAAATAAATCCTGTTCTTAGATACTTACGGTTATCATAAATGGGGTTGGAGATGACTGGGGATATAGGCTGTGTGCAGTTGCCATGCTCATCAGAGATGAATGCTTGGAAACAGAGTCTCACCACATTGAGGTCATATTCTTCAACTGTCAACAGTTGTTCTTCAGAAACTATAAAAACAAAAATAATAAGCATGGGATATTGTATTTAAATTGGGAGTAATAAGGACATGGAAGAATGCTTATATCCCAGACTCTTACGTGTTGATTAAATGAAATTTAGTCAGATTCTAACTTTTGAATCAGCTATGTACCAAAGGAGAGGTGAGACTGGAACATACGATTCTGTAGGGCTTAGATTTAATTATATAATCTTAATAAAGTTGCTCGGTGAATGAGATGGCAGTCTCTAAATTTGATAAACAAACAAATAACATACTGGAATCTCTATATCTATATTTAACAATGTGTGTGTGTATGTTTACAGAACTATCTATCTATCTATCTGTCTATCTATCTATCTATCTATCTATCTATCTATCTATCTATCTATCTATCTATCTATCTATCTATCTATCTATCATTTAAATTTTATGTAATGTAAATACATAGTTTAGTTTTACTTAGTTGTTGTTTTGTTTTTCTCTCTCTTTCCCTCCCTCCCCACCAGCTGCTGTTTTCTTGGGCTTTTCCCACTTTTCTGTCTCTCTGTATTTTACTATAGGATTTTTAGTTTTCTTTCTTATCATCAAATAGCTTTTTATAAAATGCTAGATTCATAACTATATTTTATATTTTAATATAATAATATTAGAAATTGCAATGTTTTTGAAATACCAGACTTAAAAATTATTGAAAAGAAAGGGGGAAAATTGGATAGTTAACATTACAATATTTTGAGACAACAGGATAGAAAAGAAAGAACTGGAGAAAATAAAAAAATATAAAGACCTGCAAATAGAAGTAGAACAACTATGGCAAAAGAAAGCAAAGATAGTACTAATAGTAATAGGCACCCTGGGTACAATCCCAAAACATTTGAAGTATGAATACCATTGGCATTGACATAATCCCCATCAGTCAATTGCAAAGGCAGCTTTACTTGGAACAGGTAAATCTTGCGGATGATACATTTAAACAACAATATCTATCCATTCCAGGTCCTTGGGAAGGACTCAATATGGACAAAAATAGCAAATACAGTCTAAACATCTGGCTGTATGACCAACTATAATAATAAAAGTAGATTAAACCTATCTAGAAGTCATATCCTATTAATTGTTAAATATACTGTAAACTGTAAAAGACATAACCAGCAGTAGTCATACAATGAACCCCTATTTCAGAGGCCAGATGATGTCATTGCAAAAAGGTGAGTCAAAATCCTTAGCCTCATTCTCCCACGCAGTGGTGGGATTCAAATATGTGAACAACCAGTTCTCTGTGTGGATGCCGCTTCCGAAAGTCCATTCTGGGCCTGGGCAACAAAAAATTAGCTATCAGTTCTGCTGAACTGGTGCAAACAGGCTGAATCCCACCACTGCTCTCATGGCATTTTTCTGAGATTGATTTGAGATGATGGAAGTTGCAGTTGTTAGCCCAATGTTACAGAAAAAAGCACTATCAGACTTGGGTCATAATGGTAATCTGGTGGGTAGGCTGAAAGCTTCTAATCCTACGGCAGAATTTAGCATTTTCAGAATAGGGGAGAGGCAATTCACAAACTTTTATTCTTCCTGGGAGTTCTCACTATCCTTAAATTTTTGCTGCCAACTGTCGAATTAAATTTTCAGCATCATATATAACCAATGTTCCCATTTATCTCTCAATTGCTATTTTGTTAGAGAAGGCAGCATCAATGAAATTTAAAATGGAAATGCCACCCACACTGTGGTGATAAACTGCAAATGTTACGAAAAAGTAAAATATTGCTTCCATCATTTACATACCACAAGGGATGTGATACTTCTCCCACTATGGTTTTATACCTTACTTTAGGAGGAGGAGGAGGAGGAGGAGGAGGAGGAGGAGGAGGAAGGAAATTATAGTACAAACTGTGAATTGATAAAGGTAGCTGAAAGAGAAAGCATACAGATTCCACTGTGCTATAGCCACTGTGCAGCAGCTTATCTTTCTTGGTTCTAAGATATTGGTGTCTCAAAATCAATTCTTTATGTACTGATTTTATAATCTTTACATAATTGTTCTTTGCATATACACATTCAGGAAAAACATTTTATTTATTTCAAAAATAAACATTTGCATAATTCATGGTACATTTAGAGGTGCTTTTATATAATCAGCTCCTAGTACAATTAGCCAATTTTTTATATGATTAAAATAAAAATGCAAAAAAACCCCAAGATAATTACATACAATAGATGGTAATACCAACCTAACAGACATACTTTTAGAGTATTACTGTCATTCTTTCCATGTTTCTTTGGAATATAACACAGCTTATGTCTAGGCAAAATTGTTGGGTAAGATTCTATGTATGTGTGTATTTGATGTAAGTTTGTGTTATGTAATGTTATAGTACACATAAGTTGTAATATACATTCTGCACATGATGGAAATTTTTTCATTACATCCTTAATATGAATAATGATTTTCTTTTCAATCTGGGGTGCAAAAAGAGGAAGTGCATTGGTCTTGAGCTATTTTTAAAATCCATTTCCTATTACAAGTATAAAATAGAACACTGTAAATACTCATGTTTTCCTTTGCTACCATTCTGATAATATTGATAGGCACTTAACATGAACAAACTGAGTAACCTTTAAAAGCATTAAGATAGGTCAGTGCTATTAATATATTTATGAAGACCCTGAATTTGAGAACATCTTCACCCCAAAGAAGAGTTAACAACAATATTATAAGCACAGGGAAAAATTCAGTGTGCAGTGCTCAAATTCTCCATCTTGTCTTTCTATGGCTCAAACCAGGCTTGCAGATCCCTTCAATGTCTTTTATATCACGCCAGACAGATAAATACTCAATCTCTTAACAGTTTACGATAAAATAAACGGATTCCAATCCACTAAAACAAAAGAGCAATTAAAACTAATAGACATAAAGCTAATAATAACAATAAGCAATTAATTAATACTTAAAAGCCAGTTTTAAAAAGTGTTTTCTAAATGCTAATAAAGATAGCGTGCCTCCCAGCACTGCAGGAAATGGATTTGTGTATATTATGTATACTTGCTACAAGCCATGCCCCCCCAAAGGCCAGGCCAGGTTATAAAGTAAATACATATTACTTCAATTAGTCACCCATTACAAAATATCCCGCCTGCATATATTAATTGTCCTTGCACTCACACTACAAGTGTTCTCACGCCCAGAAACTTATAAATATGCATACAGTCCTGTACCTCCTTCTAGCAGAAAGAGCAAAGGAGAGAAGAATAATAGGGTAAAAAGAAAAGGGGAACTGCTCTGGGAAGAAAATGAAAGAGAACTGAGGAACAACATGGGGTGCTGATCAAAAGAGGAGAATTGGTAGTTGATAGGAAGAAAAAATGATAAAAGCTTCCTTGAAGTGTTACAAAAGGAAGCAAATTCTGTAGACAAACAGACCAACCCAAAAAGAAGCTAATCTTCAAAGGCATCCAGAGTATGATGCAATTTGTGGCAATTTGTATCTCATGTGTCCCACACATTCTTTTATTGGTGAATGTAAAATGACCACCACCTCCATCTCTATTCACAGGCAATATATCACCGCTGTACATATCTGTAGGGCAAAGCCTGGATGACTTAAGTCTACCCATGAGTTGTGAAGGAAAGATCAGAAAGCCACATCTGATCTTGCACATTATATTCCCCAGGGGCAATTACTGCACATTTCCTCCTTTTAAAAGGTGCTTCCTTTTCGAAGCAACTTTATAGGATGTTTTTCCAAAGGTCACTGTTCAAACAGGTGTTTCCGGTGTTTCAGCTAACAGTTCTTAACCGCTAGACTGTACTATCTCCTTATCAACACTTTTCATGTTAGTATCACCATGATTGTCAACATTTTTTGCTCTGGTCCATTGGAAGCAAGCCCAAGCATTAAGCAAATGAGAAGTGGACTTAAGAAGAAAGCATCAATGGTACAAACTCTGAATGCTCCAACACTGGAAGTTGTTAAGAAGAAACTGGACAGCCATTTGTCTGAAATGGTATAGGGTTTCCTGCCTGAGCAGGGGGTTGGACTAGATGACCTCCAAGGTTCCTTCCAACTTTATTATTATTATTATTATTATTATTATTATTATTATTATTATTATTATTATTATTATTATTATTATTATTATTATTATTATTATTTAATGCACATCTTAAGGAACATATCTTGTAAATGGTTATGGCAACATTAATTTATTTATCAATTTTATATAGCCACCTATCTCATGAAAAAGCGACTCTGGGCAATGTACAACAAGACTATAAAAAGTTAACATATTAAAAAATATATTATTTAAAAAAATTAAAATCACAAGCCTAAGAGAGAACAACAGATGTTAACAACGATGTCAGTCCCCAGTATCTTACAGTATGTTATTACCTTTATCTCATTGTAATCTTATTGATACAATACCTTACCTTGAGATAACTTTTTCTTTGTACTTTCATTAGCTTTCATAAGATGTAAGCTTGGCTGGAAAAGGGGAGAGGCACTTGCAACCTTGACCACACTGCAGAAGCCCACAGACTTTCTATAACATAGAAAGAGTGCTTGCAGCTAGATAGATGATGTCGTATCCCTCCCTCCCCTTGAGAGAGGGCTGTTCAATTTTGACATAGATGGCCTCTTTGACCCCTCTTTCAAACCAGCAGTCCTCTCTGTCCAAATAGTCCATAGAGGCCATCTATGTCAAAACTGAACAGCCCTCTCTCAACAGAGGGGGAGGGATAAGACATCATCTATCTCCAATTTACAACACAGTCCTTTCAGCAGTTTCAAGGAAGCTCCACACTCAGGTGATCCTGATACACTACTCAGGTGATCCTGATGACACAGATAAACTCCCAAGTGGCCTCAGTGACTCTCTAAAAGAATGCAAATGTCCAGATGTCTGCAAGGAGTATAAATCCTTCCATTCCCCCAGTGGCGCAGCGTGGGTTGTCAGCACCCGGGGCAAGGCAAGTAATTTGCACCCCCCCCTCCACAGTGGGCGGCG